TCCATAAACTTCTTAAACCACTCGAAAACTTGCGTGCGAGATAGACACTGATCACCATATACTTCTGTCAACAAATTGTAAGTTTCAGTGGCAGATTTTCCAAGTTTTGTGAGGAATTTGATGTTAGCACGTTGTTCTGCATTAGCACTCAGCATTATTCCGACGGAGCTCAGAAACACGATCCGCTTCTAACAATGGTCGCGGCCAGACTAACCGATGCACGTGAATGAAACTTTGTGTGACGGTAGAGGGAAGTCCAAGGGTCAATGCCCTACCCTCCTCTTCGTCAATGACGTGGCCGGAAATGAGTCATAAAAGTAATCCGGTTTCTTTATTGCCACACCTTGTATATAACAGAAATTTTATTGAATGCACTCAACGAAAAAAAAAATTCAATTTGATTCTCCATTGTCAATATTGGAATTGAATTAAAATACAGAGAATTTTACTTTTACAAGATTTCCAATATGAAAATTTAGCATAAAAGGCATTACTAGATGCAGTTAATTTAAAAACAGTTCACAGGTAACTATGCTATAATGATAAACATTTCATGTAAAAGCAATGTAAATGTAAAAATGACAATATTCTATATTTCTTCAAATGTCACTTCCATAATTACCTTCTTCATCATATTAACTCAATTATTCTTACTTGTTCTACATAAATTCTTCAGTTATACCCTGTGCAGATACAATGGTTAACAGAAACCTGAGGTCTCAGCGTTTTCTGATATAATATTATGAAACAGGAAATAGCAATAAAGGACTCCAATATTTTTAACTGGAATTCAAATCCACATTAGTATCATAAAGAAACCTCTGACTTCATGGCTTTCTAATTAAAGTGTGGCATAAAGGTAGAGTTGTCCCTGCGCTTAATTAAATAAGCACTATGACATGAAGACATAGGGGGCATGGAGGTACAGCTCTACCATTCTTGGCCTCAGCACTAGATGGACGTCAGTGGTCAGCTTCATGTCCTGGCTCCTTTACTCCCAGGGAAATCACATCTGGTACCCACTGGATATTAGCCTGGGTGGGCCACACAGCTGGTCTGGATGCTGTGCACAAGAGGAAAAGGTTCCCTCTGCTGGGAAACAAAACCCATGCATCCAGCCCGTAGACCATTGCTATACCAACTATTGTTTTAACAAATTGGCCTTACCGGTGCTCCAATGCGAGAGAGGTAACGGTTCCGAATGTGGAAGTCTGAGTGGGGCTGAAGCAGATCATGAGGTGTGATGTCAGACATGGAGCCAGATGCAAGCAGTTTCTCACGTTCCAGGGCCTCAGCAGCTCTGCAGTCACAATAAGCACTCCAGCATAATAATTCCCCCAGAAGATGAGACAATTTTATGTTCAACACTGTTCGTTGTCTGAGGCAAAGTTATTATACATTTTTCACAAATTTGATCCATTTCAATCATTAGGGATCCTACACTGTTGACTTCATTAGAAAGCACTGGTTTCAATCAACGGACAATAGGATAAACATTATGCATAGCATACATTCTGTATGTCAAATATCAGCTGGAGATACATACAGAAAAATTTTGAAGCAGAGTATATATTCTAGGAGGGCCGCGCCATAGCTCAAGCGGTTAGTCGCTCACTTCCCACCGCTGCGGCCCGGGTTCGATCCCGGGTCTGGTCAAGTGGGATTTGTGGTGGACAAAGTGGCGCTTGGGCAGGTTTTCTCTGAGTACGTCGGTTTCCCCTGCCAATCTTCATTCCACCAATTGCTCCACAACCACCCTCACCTATCATCTGGGGCTGGTACAATAGGCCAGAAGTGGCCGCAGTACAAAGGACTTAGTCCACCCTACTAGCAATAAAAAAAAAGAAATATATTCTAGCAACATCAAGAGCAACAACTGGAAAAGCAAACATTGAAATCACTGGAAAGTACACAGGCAATGCAGTGAAACTTCGATTTTACCTTTTTCATGAATTTAGTCATAGCAGATCCCATGTTAGGCCAACTTTGATCTTGTCTCAGTATAACTCTAACTCACTGAGAGCAGTCTGTCCCCCCCACCCCCATCTGATATGTGTTCCAAAAATGACAGCAACACAGCAGCATGTGTGTTTTTGTAAGTGAAACATTCATTAGAAATGCACGCAGGTTAAATTATTGAATCTTTCAGTGCCCACGTGACTTCACTTTGCAGAGACAAAATTTTATCGCAGATCAAGACAAATTTCACAGCAAAAGAATGAAATATAGATAATAAAGGAAAAACAGAAACAATTTACAGTAAGTGATACAATAAATATTTTAGTGTAAGTTGATGTACATACTGGCACGTGTTGAACTGGCATCACAATTGAGACCTTCAGTATCTGCAAAAAACACTAACATGAAGGACCATGAAGAAAATGAAACAAGGTACATCCAGTGTGGACCTTTCTGCAAGCAGTGGAAATCACTGCAACATTCACCACTGGAGAAACTGGAATCTGCACTTGCCGCATGGTTCAAGCAAGTACGAGAGTAATGCTTGATACCCACCTCAAGGAGAAGGCCTTGCTCATCACTGCTTGTTTAAGAGAACCCAACTCTTTGGCTCCTAATGAATGGATCAACAGATTTAAGAGAAGACACAACACTGTGTACAGAACTCTATCAGGTGAGAGCGTAACTATTAATCCAGAAACTATAGAAGACTGCAAAAATTACCAACTATTGTTAAAAACTGATACAGCTGAGGAAACTGGTATATTTTTCAATCTACAACTTACTGAAACCTTCACATTCTGAGATTTTTGCTATGGTGGTATAAAATTGAAACAGTGGGTTACTGCACTCCTGATGTGCCATGCTGATCATAGTGAATAACTGCCACCTATTATAAGAGGTTAAACAGTTCCATCCAGTCTGACTAGTAAAGATTTTTCTTATTTCAATCCTTCATCCCTTACATGTTTTGGTCTTTACGGACCATCCTCAGAGGAACATCAATACGATCGGAAGCCAATATTACAATATGTGTTTGAATGCCAAGATATATACATACAATGCTGACAAAGTATAATGGGTGTAAAATCTAATGTTTTAACAAGTACAGCAACTGTCTTAATATGTTAAAATACTTACAATTTGTTAAAATTTTTGTTGGAAATTGTAAACCAAGTTAGTTCATGTCCTTTTTTATTATTTTTTCTCTTGAAGGAGGCCAAAAGTTCTTGTTTTTGATAAGAGGATTCTTTAATGTCATCCTGTAGGTGTTCATGGCGTGCTGTGTTATGCCACCTATTGTGGCATACTGCTACAAGAATATCTAGAGACTGTCTACAAAATATGAAACCAATACAAATTCTTGGACCACCATCAAAACATTTGAAGATTATCCTACAAAATTAGACAGAAAACTGGGTGTTAAAAATTGCAAAATCTTGCTTTTCATTGATCATTGTGCTGCCCATGTGAAGAACACAACATTTCTCAGCACCATCACAGAGTTGTATTTCTCACAGCTAAGTGTACCAGCCATGTACAGCCCCTGCCAATACAGAAATCAGTTGATTCAGAGGAGTGCAGCCATGACACATGGCAGACTGCTGCAAGATGCTACACAGATGAAGCTGGGTGCGTTGTCTGCAATACAATGCATAGCAGAAGGCTGGGGACTGATAATACCCACCACAATCAAGAAGTAATTTTGAAAGTGTAGTTTCTCAAATGATGTCAGCAGTAATGAAAACAGTGCAGTGAAACTCAGTGAAGATGAAGAGTATAACTGGTGGAGTTTACAACATGTTTGAGTGCATTTTGAGGGCTACACAACATGTAACAGTGCTCTCGAGGTTTGTCGAATCCCAAGTGTCATCCAAGCGTTAATGGCTGAGAGATCAAGAAAATAAGAAATAAAATAGTTAAACGAACAGTGTAGCTAGGTATGCACCACATCTGCCAGTCTATCCAAGTGAATACTGGGATAATACCTTGAAATAGACTATGATCACTTTCTTCCTCATCCTTTCCATTCATCAGCTGTAATCACCTTCTTACCTCACCTTGCTGATACCACACAAAACAGCCGTTAATAAAAAATCATAAAATAAACCAAGACCCATGCTTGCATCTACATATATATGGTTAAGTGTTGAGATATGTATTTAAAAATAAATATAAAACAAATTGTATTCACACTATACCATTCTCATTTCCCCGATTTTACATTTATCTTAGGTAGTCCCTTAATAGTGTAATTTGAGGTTTCTCTGCATCTGTACCAACAAATGCTCGAAACATAATTGAATCTGTGCCGNGTAGCCCTAAAAGACAAAAATAAAAAAAAAAAAAAAAAAAAAAAAAAAAAAAAAAAAAGAAAAATTGACATATTTCAAAATAAATGCCTCAGTCAGGTAAACTTCTGTTGGCCCTTGACAGCACAGTCATTCTTGGTTCCAAGAACCACATGATTCATAGATATATTTTACTACCTCACAACTCACTCAAATCAATGCCTTGATGTTACCTTAAACTTTTTATATACCAGCAAGTATACTGCATCTGCAGTGCAAGAAGTGAAGCATTTAGACTATCATTTGATGACATTTCACAGCTGACACCTAAAGGTCAGGAATCCTGCTGTATGAATTGTTGATGGCAGGCACAACCATTCCACATAGTTAATTTATAAGGCTCAATATATTCACCTGTCTATTCACTGATGATGAGCGATAAGCCAGGGCTCAAGAGTGGAAATATCTTTGAATGTATTCATTAAAAATGATTCCCTTTTGAATTTCAATAAACATTTCCACTAGTATAATACAAGGGTGAGTATCTTATATATTTTGCTGGCCTACTTGCTTTACTTTGAAAAAATAACATGCAACTTATGGGATCACCTTGCTGTCTGTGTGTCCTCCTTAATGTCTGAAGGCCAAAATAATGGAGCCAGAAGAGAAGACCGTTTCTAGGCAATAGTTAAATAAATGCATTTTTGCAGCAACAGTTACACATGCAACAACAGAAGAACTGTTAGCTGCAGTGTTCTCCATGTTGTCTGTGTTTTCTTCTCAGAGACTCTTGTATGTTATGTGAGTGTATGTAGGCTGATGTGCAGGAATTACAGCAGTATGGGTAGGTGAGGTTTCTCCCGTGGAGAAAGTCTGGCAAGTAGAATTTTTGTGATGGGAACTGGAACGCCATATGTTAACCCTTGCACATTTACTTCATTTCATGACTACAAATTTCTGCTCACTGCTCGTATTAAACAAATGTAAAACAATGTTAAAACTGATGCACTTGAAGAGAACTTACAGTGCATCACTACATACATTTTAATTTAACAGCCAGCTACAGCACAGCTTCAGCCACATTTTTGGTTATTAAATGCTTATTTCAATTAGCCATGAAGGAAAGAATGAACTTCCTTCCACAGCTTCAAATGATATGACAAAAATTTATGCTGGCAATGTTTTAACCAGCTGCAATTTAACTGATGTACCAGGGGTAGCACAAATAAAACTTATAAGCATATTATTAAAAATGAGGTAAATACAAAACTACGAACCAATGGCACAATCTTTACTCACAATTTCCTGGAAAACAGAACTTCATTTCTTAATGGAGAGTCAGAGACCACTTCGAAAATACTACAGATGCTAAGATAACCTGAAAATGAACTCCATTTCATTCAATATCTGAAAGGCAGATAAAGCTATGATAAAGAGCATTAAATACAGCAATTTATGTAATTTTTGCAGCCAGAAATCAGCTGACTTAAAACAATCCAACTGCTTGGATTCTATTTCAAGATATGAGTGGCATCCCCATATAATCCGAGTATTCAAATTTCTGTGATGCATGAAACCACCCCTGTGAGGCATGCATATAGATTCACTGTAGTGATGAAAAGGAAATTACATGTGAGAATTAAACCCCCCACAAGGACAAACATTATATGCCCTAAACATTATGCTAGTCAAATACAAGGAGAAGACATGATCATTTATCATCAAAATTAAGCAGTGTAACCTCTTTGTTTTAGACCGTGGTCCTGTGTTATGACATTGTGTAGTCCTTTACATGGATATCAACATTTCAGAAAAATTTGCTGCTTCCATTTTTGGGGTTGAACAGGCTGAAAATGGAAGCAGAAATGTAGTTATCAGCTATAAGATTACACGGTGTTACAACACTGAAGACAACATTACCTTCTGTCATGAAAACCTCAAATCTTGAATTGCAATTTCAGCTTAAACTTTAAGGTAGTAAAAAGAATGAATGGGTTATTGTGAAAGAAAGAAATGTTTCTGTTATGACACTCAGCATGTTTCGACCCAGATATAACATCATCGGGTGATGACAACAGCATACATACAAAAATTGCAATGCCAATCAGTTGATTAAGGTCGGATCTTACTTAAAAAAGTAAAGCTATCCCTGTAACAGGCTGTGAAGGCCCATACGGTTGTGACATGTCAAGGCTCCCACATTCTCTAGACAAGCAGCTCACAGATAGCAGTAAGGTTGTCAGAATAATCTGCCGGCCACCTCTTAATCCCCAGGAAGATTTCTGGTACTCATTTCTGTTAGGGGCTGAGTCAACCCCAGGGCCATAATGCAGCTGGAAGGATTAGGTAAATTGAAAAAAATCCACCTAATCAGGACTCGAACCCATGACCTTCCAGCTTGTAGTATAGTGCCTCAACCAACTATGCTACCGCATACCTCCCAGATCTTACTTAACCTTTATCCTACGGGCATTTAAATTCCGGTAAAGGCAGCCGTACGGAATAAATTTAAATACCCACGATTAGAAATCCGTGAAAACTGTAGTCACTTACTAAATTTGCTCCTATTTCTGCAATTTCTGTGATAAACGAACGAAATAAACGCTGTTTTTTTCTCGAAAGAATATAGAATCAGATATTGTAATTTACAGATTGTATAAAACATGTTAAGATTTTTACACTGGCTCCAAATAAGAAATTCCCCAGTTTTGTTAATTTCTCTACAACAATTCATAGGTTCAGAAGCATGACCACTTGTGCAACTTGGCAACACAGCTGAAGTTGAGTCTAAAGAGGTTATCATAGTCTGAATGACGTACTCGCCTTGGAATGAGGAGACTGGGCGAATGATATAAACTCAGTTTGTTACATCGCTCTCAGCTATACAATATGTTTACTGTTCTTACACAGTTCAAAGCTAGCTTTGTTTATGAAATTGCGTTGCCGTATCAACAGAGCGATAATAGAGCTTCGTTCCTGGAAGTTTTCAGTCGGAGGATTTCAAAGTTTGATCGTCGTGTCGTGTGGAATAGTCTATCATATTTCAGGTCATCAACGACTCGGTACAGATTGCTGTACCAACAATTCTGAGAGTGATGTTGAAGGTAGCGAATCAGAAAGTTATTTCGAAGGAGACCCCATCATCTTCGTCGGCAACCTGGGGACCACCACACCAGCGTGGCATGAGGAGTGTGAATAATTATTCAGGTGGAGCTGTGGGCAAACTGTGACAAACAGTTATAGCATCTGTTGTCGAACCTAGAAATGGACATATAAGCTATTTTTCCATCTCCTTGATCTGAACAGTTACATCCTGTTGTCACACAGAGAATTTCGTCTCGCTCTTGTGCGGAACATGCTGGAAGGGGTCCACCTCGCCATCAACGGCCAGGGGTCGAACCCCTGCCGTTTTATGGGAGATATCTCGATTATAGAAGGCCAAACCACATCACTGGCCGACTTCCTCTACTTCGCAATTGAGGTGTCGTGTGTGCTTTTCGCGTGGGACACGAAAGACCGCCCGGACAAAGTGCGTGAATTGCGAAATCGGACTCTGCATTTCCGGATTTTTTTTAGAATTCCACACGAAAGCAACATTCTGGCAGATGACGCAGGTGGGAAGACAGATACTCCATGCAGATGGTGGCCAAAAATTATATAAGTAGGACATTATTTTCTACCTTAAAAATGTATTTCAAATAACGTCCGCACGCGCGGACTGTGCGACCCCATATGGGGACATTCGTACCGCTGACTAAACTTGTGCGACCCCATACGGGGTCTTTAGTCGTTTAAAGGTTAATACCAGATATTCATTACATTTTGGATAATGAACCTTCAGGTTTCATAAAATGCTGAGAAATTCTTGAGTAGATGCAGATTTGGCTTATCCTCAAGACAGGCTCAGCTTCATAAATAAGTAAATTCATTACATTTTAAAATTAAAAATAGATATATATGCAACAAATTAAAAAAAATATAGAAAAAAACCACTGCAAGGAGATCACTATGAAAAGCAAGGGGGATTTATTTTTTGGAGGGGTGGAGGGGATCACTGGGGGAACTTCAGAAATCATGGGGTTGAGGTGAAAAGGTGAGTATGTTTATGTTGCTGTGTGTATAAGGTACATGTGTATTGTATTGTGATGTGGGGGTGATGGAATGTAATTTTGGTGTGTACAAGATGCTTTCTTCCTGCGCACAGTTGATATTTCATTGTTGGAACTGAGTACACTGATTCCGTTGTTTTTGGAAACTAGATATGATGGTTGTCATATCTTTCAGTTTGCTGATTATGTTGCAGGTACTCCTGTATTGTGTACTTTCTTTTAGCAGGTTTACTTCTGGCAGCCATTTCTTAGTCTGCTATTGTCTGAGATGGGTTGGGGCATAGCAGCATATATGCGGAGACTATGAAGCTCTTCCCTGAGGTACTGTGGTGTGTGACTCTTTATGGTAGTATTAACAGCTGAAGGTAATTGTAACACATATACACTGTATGTTCCATTAATACTGAAAATTTTCTGAACAAGGAATTGCTACTCATGAACATCTAATATTCTACTGTAACTGTTGACTAAGTTACCATGGTGAACTACAAGGGATGGACAAAATAATGGAAACACTAAGAAACTGAGGAACTGAATTTGTTTCTGCTGGCTACACTGAAAGAACTTCATTTGGCAAAACTGAGTATTCTTCTTCCATTTCTTTACACACTGTAGTGCTGGTGCCAGTTCCTGTAAAAGAACTGGAAAACGGGAAATCTGTCAGATTTTGAAAGAGGACAGATCATTGGTGCAAATTCAGCTAGCAACTGTGATAAACACTGCCACATTATTAAGTGTATTGAGAGCAACATTTTCTTAGGTTATGTTGGCATACATGAATCATGGGAAGACAGCATCAATGAAAAGGAACTGTGGTTGAAAATAAATACTGATAGAAAGAATTTGTCATATATTGATAAGGACTGTTTAGAAAAATCATAGTACTACTATAGCACAGGTGCGCTGCACCAGAACTGGTTATTCATCTCGAAGATAGTTTTCACAAAAACTGTCAGACACAAGCTTCACAGATCCAACATCCACAGTAGGGATGCAACTGCTAAACCTCTGATTACTGAAAATAATGTTCAGATGCATAAACGATGGTGTCACAACCATAAAACCTGGACATCAGACAACTGTAAACGTGTGTCTGTTACAGTCAGATGAGTTGTCCTTCACGCTGTTCCCTAAATCAGGAAGATTTTACGTTCAGAGAACACCCAAGGAAGCCTACAATGCGGAATACCTGGTTCCAACACTGAAACACTGGAAAGGTTCTTTGATGTTCTGTGCAGCAATATCATGTTACAGTAGTCTGTTGGTCCCATTATTATCCTTCATGGCTGACTTACTGCAAGGGAGTATGTGGACAGGTTCAATAAGCAGGTACATCCCATGATCCAGATGGTTACTTCCCAACAATGATGCAGTTTTCCAAGATGACAATGTCCCCATTCACATGGCTGGAACTGTTCACTCATGGTTTGAAGAGCAAGAAGATGAACTTCAACATCTTCCATGGTCGGCATAATCACCAGATTTGAACATCATTGAAGCACTCTGGTCAGTTTTGGAGACTACAGTGAGGAACACGTTCCCACCTCCAACATCTCAAAAGCAACCTGAAGATGTTCTTCAAGAAGAATGATATACAATTCTGCTGGAGACTGTTCAAAACTTCTATGAGTCCATTCCAAGAAAGACGGCGGCTATACTGAAGGCAAAAGTTTGTCGAACACCATATTAATAAAGAAATGTGTACAGTATCTGTAGTGTTTCCATTGTTTTGTCCAACCCCTGTATGTTGTTTTCTCTTTAAAATGTTTGAATATCAATGATCAATCAGAGAAGCACATATACTTACAATTGACTTCTTTCAAACACTTCCCGTTGCCTAGGAGTCATATTGAGTATGCCTGAAGACTTTCTGTCAAGGAGCCAAATGAGAACAGATGTGAGAAGGGCAACTGTAAGAGGATTATAAAAAATATATATATAAATTCATACAGCAATGAGTTCAACTATACATAACTTCTCTGTTTTACTTTACTTGTTGAAATGACAAGTCCTAGTATACTAAGATCAAAAAACAAAACATTTCCAATGTGGAAAGGGATATCAACTGCCAGTGACAACATATCCGGTGATACACTACAACAAACTACAACAGACCCCAGTATTTGCTAGTATGATGAAATTCTGATTAATGAATAACAATGAAAATGTCCAATAAATCGTGAAAAATTTTCCAGCCTTAAACATCAATCATAAGAATCTATTACAATTTTTGTAACCATTTTGCCTGAATATGAATACTCATCTTAAAGCCATTCTGTTTGAAACGAACCCTTCAAACCAGCTTAATTTCATTCTCTGATGTACAGCCTGGCACTGCTAACTGGATATGATTCAGGCAGTTAAATCAGTTTACATTAATGAAACCTACAATTTCTTTGTTAAAATCTGTCACGGACTTTAATAAAGAAATTGTATATAATAACACAACAAGTTGCATGAATTGAAAATTAATGAAACCTGCTTAGTAAAGTTCCATTTTCATTTGATCCTCCTCTCCACTTTAGTCTTTCAAGAGTCAAATCACATTCCCCACAAAAATGACACTATGACATAAGCTTCAAATATCTGTGAATTTATAACAACAGTTAATAAATGATGTGAATACAAGTGGTGGGAATTAATAAGTATCAAAGTCCATTATATGCAACAATTTAACATTTAAAAAGCCTACTACACTACAACACTGACTACCTCGAACCTTCGGGGGGGGGGCTTGCATGCATGCACACACCACACATGAAATTAGAGCCAATCATACAAGAGATATCATATATATTGTGACGTGGATGGCGCAGGGGGAAGTGGGGGTCGCGTGGGCTCTGCGGTCTTGCGAGTGACATCACATAACCACACTCCTTCCATCAGTGCGCAGCGCTCGGTAAACACCCCCTCCCCCACTGTGGCGTGGCAGGGGAGCGGCTGTGTCAGGCAGCAGTTGCCGCGGTGACGTGGCAGCGCTTCCCATAGTGATGTAACAAGGGATACCGCGGTTACTATACAGCAATAAACAAATCTCGACAGTGTTGCTAGGCAAACTGTAAACACAGTGTCACGCAACAGCAGTACATATCACATAACTGTTTTCTGTGTTATCCATGCTGAGGCTAAACAAGGAGAAGTGAACACTATTCAGTAGTGAGTAGTGAGCCAGTTGCGACTGAGTTACTAGCGAGTAACGATTAACCAGTCAGTTGCAGACTAGCAGTCGCTGAGTCGGGTTGTATGGAGTGCATGGCAGGAGAAGTATTTGTGATACTGCAGATGGCAGTAGTTGTGTAATTGTGAAAGTGAGTATTCAATAAATTCGCTATATCAAATAAGGCGTGAAGTTATTTGTCGCGTGACATATACCCAACACGTGACAATATGAACAATAAGAAAATACTGCCACCACAGGAATATTCAATTTTAAACTTTTAATTAACTGTACTGATACTGTCAATAATTTTATAACTTATCTACAATAGCATTTTATTCTATCTTGATTTCTAACGGTAGAAATCCCTTTCAAACATTTGTTTATTGTACATGTAAAGTGTTTCCTTTGTAGTGTTGACTTGCTGAAACATGTAAAAGGCTTTTAAATATTAAATTGTTGTACCTGATAGACCATGATACTTATTAATTTGTTTGCAAGTGCAATGGCTCAGAATGTCTCTTATAAAAATGAGCAGTCAGAGATCACAAACACAAATATTCCAGCAAAACTGCCAATGACATCAACCTATGAGATTATGTTCTCATTATAAATGCTGACTTACTGAAGGTACACAAGTGCAACATCACCATGAAAAAAGATTACAAACATGTCTACTATGTTTGTAAAGGGGTATTTTGTATTTTGAGAGTATCAACATAACTTTGGGATGAAAATTAAAGATAATGTTTTCAATGTAAAAGGAAAACAAACACCCAATCTGGCTGTTTACATATCAAACTTTTACAGTTCTCTAACCAAACCAGTCATTACAGTTTTCATTCATTTGCTGCTGTCACATACCTTAAGCGATCATGAAATCTACAAAAAAAAAAAAAAAAAAAAAAAAAAAAAAAAATTAAAAAGAGAAAGTGTTTTTTTTTATATTAAAAAAAATTT